GAAGAATGATGAAAAGAGCTCTAAACCAAAGTACAAAGCACGACATGTTGTCAAAGGCTTTGAGCAGAAAAAAAGAGTGGACTTTGATGAGATTTTCCCACCCATGGTGAAGATGTCATCCATTAGAGTTGTTCTCGGCAAGGCTATAAGTATGGACTTGGAAATTGAGGAACTTGATGTGATGACCGGCTTTCTCCATGGAGATTTAGATGAGGAAATCTACATGGAACAACCCAAAGGTTTTAAAACCAAATGGAATGAGCATCTAGTTTGCAAGTTAAAGAAAATCTTGTATGGATTAAAGCAAGCGCCGAGGCAATGGTACAAGAAATTCGATTCTTTCATGATGGATCATGGATATTCTAGAACCAATTCCGATCATTGTGTGTTTATGAAAAAGTTTCTGGATGGTAATTTTATCATTCTCTTGTTATATGTTGACGACATGCTTATTGTGGGTCAAGATTCTACCAAGATTGACAAATTGAAGATAGAGCTAAGCAAGTCCTTTGCCATGAAGGACTTAAGAACGATAAAACAAATTATTGGTATGAAAATTCTTTGTGATCGAAAGAATGGACATCTTTGGTTATCACAAAGAACTACATTGAAAAAGTGCTTAAAAGTTCAAAATGGACAAAGCAAAGCCGATTGGATCTCCACTTGCAGGCCACTTCAAGCTTAGCTCAATACAATATCCTACAAGTGAGAATGAAAAGGAGGAAATGCTGAATATTCCTTATGCTTCAGTTGTTGGATTGCTTGATGTACGCCATGGTTTGCACAAGGCCAGACTTAGCTTATATGGTTGGTTTGGTTAGCAGATTTCTCTCTAATCTAGGAAAAGAACATTGGGCACCTATTAAATAGATTATGAGGTATCTCTGAGATTCTTCCAAGGTGTCTTTATGCTTTGGAAATGGCAAGCCTATGCTGGAGGAATTCGCGGATGCAGACATGGCTAGTGATATTGATTTCCAAAAATCTATTTCGGGTTACTTGCTCACTTTTGCTAGTGGGGCTATTTCATGGCAATCAAAACTTCAAAAATATATTGTTTTGCCAACCACGGAGGCTGACTATATAGCCGTGACAAAAGCTAGCAAGGAGACGTTATGGATGCGAAGATTCTTACATGAATTGGGCCTAAAACAAGAGAGGTATGTTCTTCATTGTAATAGTCAAAGTGCAATTCACTTTTGTAAGAATTCTGCTTTTCATTCAAGATCAAAACATATTGATGTGTGATATCAATGGATATGTGAAGTTTTGGAATTGAAATTGTTTCATCTTGTAAAATCCATACCAATGATAATGCATCGGATATGATGACGAAGACCTTACCCAAAGACAAGCATGAGAATTGTAGAGTTTCAACGAGTTTGGTTGATTCCTCCACATAAGTCAGGAGAGGGAGATTTGTTGGGTGTCCTTTCTTATGCCTTCTTATTGGGACCCAACTCAAATTAAAGATATGTGCATCTGTGCATTAGAACTATGCATTGGAAGAGTCTAGCACAAGCCAAGAATAGAAAACCTTTTGTCTTCCAAATAGCCTGACTAGTTTTTACACTTTTTGAGTGGGAAAATCTGTAGAAGAAAATATTGAGAGGGACAACTTCTTTTGTGAGAGGAAAGTGGTAGACATCAGCCCATTTCTTGCTTTTGTTCAAGACTCATTTCTACTCCGATCGAGCTGAAATTTCAGGGACATATTCCTCTCTTCTACAACTGGTTTCTACTGTTTTGGGTCATCAATCGGACTGTTCTACAGCTAGTTTTTAATGACACAAGTTCAGCCACTTTGGTGAGATCTTTCTTGTTGCTTTGTATTGAAATCTACCTAAGGGTGAAGTTTTTATGTTTGGGAGCCAAGGAGATATTTTTCTCTTGATGTTTAACATATCTAGCTGTGACTAGAAAACTTGTAATCCTACTTTCGTTGATAGTGGAGAGATTGGACCAAGTTTGGTCCCGTGGTTTTTTCCTTCACCTTGAAGGGTTTTCACGTTAAAAATTATTGTGTTTCTTGTTGTTGGTTTGGTTTGCTTATTGTGCTTGATTGTAATTTTTGTTATTCTTTATTGATTTGCATATAGAGGAAAAGTAACTAGTTTTTTCAACATATATATGTATATGTATATATATATATATATATATAGAGAGAGAGAGAGAGAGAGAGAGAAAGAGAGAGAAAGGGAAATCCCTGCCTAAAATTGCAGAAAAATCGACAAAAATTACAAGCCGCTCCGCACCACTACAGCACCCTCGAGTGGCCACCCTCATCGAAAACGTCAACCAACCTAAGCAAAGAACATTGGGAGAGGGGCAGGGAAAGAGAGAGAGAAATTGAAAATATTCAAAGCTTAAAAAATCTGAGAAATCGAAAGGACAGTAGTGGTTTTTGGGGTTCGATTTTAACAACAGTGTATTGTTGGGTTGTGTGTGTGATGTGGTTGAGGAGGTGGTTGTGGAGATGAAAATGGAGATGGAGGTGGTGGGGGTTTTGCTAGACTGTGGTGGTTGTGGTGTGTGGTGTGTGGTGTGTGGTGTGTGGTTGTGGAGATGAAAATGGAGATAAGGGTGGGGGGTTACTCTGTCACTGGCAGTTGTGGTGCTCTATGTATTTGTGTGAAGAGAGAGAGAGACAGACAGAGAGACAGAGAGGAGGAGGTGGTGGTGGTTTGCATGGTGTGGAGGCGGCGATAGGTTATGGGCAATGGTGTTAAATGGTGCATTTAAGGACCTGAATTGAAAAATAGAATTTAAATAAATATGTTGTATAATAAACAAAAAATTCTAGTATTTAACTGATTAGTTTGATAGATTATGAAATTAAATATTTAATTGGAAAAATTTTAGTTTAAATATGAAATATAAAATAGAGACATGATAAAGGAGAGATGAGATAAAATTTTGGGGTAAGAAGAACAAATATTTGAACTTTTAAATTTAGTTTTGAGGGGTATTTTTGGTATTTCATAAATTATTATTGATGACATCAATTTTGTCAGTGAACCATTCTAACGTTTGTTAGTTGGAGAGGGTGTGGTTGTTATAAGTTTTAAATGTCCGAGGAGTTCTGTGTAATTGTTGAAATGTGAGGTGGTGTCCATGTAATAAAATAAAATGTCTGGGGGTGTGAATATAATTTATCCAAAATAGTGAAACTTGTTTAGACAATAACGCAAAAATAATTAAAATATAAATGTGATGGTAACGAATGTGGTGGTGTGGTGAAAGTGGTGGACAAGAAGGTGGTGGTGGAAGTATGGTAATGTTGGAGGTGGTGGAAGTGTGGTGGTGGTGCTGTGGACATGGTGGAAGGGTAGTGGAAGTGTGGTGGTGGTGGTGGTGGTGTTCTCTAAATTTTGAATAGATTGTTTTCTAAAACACAGAAAACAACTCTTAACTTTTCTCTAAATCCATCCAGTTTTTGTTCTCAAATTTTAAAAAACAAAAACTAAAAACATCTTACCAAACAGGTTTTTTTCTCGAAAGCTATATTTGAAAGTAGAAAATAGTTTCTAAAATACAAACCAAATAAAAAATTTTCACCCTTTTTCATTTAAACAAGTTCATAATCAAAAAAGAAATTGAACAAGTTACTCACGTTTATTTTAAAGGATTAAATTCATTACCGACTAGCCCTAAGTCTATTATAGACTTTTTTTAATACATGAATATGCACAGACACGTGTGATACAGGTACACAGAATTGCACCCCACTGACGCGTTGCCACCACCACCATCACCAGGTCCACAACCCCCACCATTGACGGCCTGCCACCACAGCACTGCCATGTGTATTAGAAAGCATGCACTGGGTTAGTTCTACCTTATACACAGGAGGAGCTACAAACTGAATTGATAGGTGCTCATGTTTGCTATACAGATTCAACTATGAAACTGATGAATTTTTTTTTCTTTTTGTTATCGTAGTTTTAAGTTATTATAGAGTTTACGATTCAATCTAATGAAGTTACATAAAATGGGATTGTTTGGGATAGATCTGAGCGTTAAAGGTCAATCCAATCGTTTTTTCACCATAACTTTGATTGTTACTTTGATTTTTATAGCTCCTAGCCTCCTATGCTATAATAGTCCGATCCTTGCTATCAGAATAGTTAAAACTCCTTAGCTGAATTGTGATTTAGAGGTTCAAAGGTTTGATGGATTCTCATTCAAACTTTATACATCATGCATTAGTCTATTCTTTTAATTTCTGAAGTTTCCAATTGCATTTTACTATTCCAAGAAGAAGACTAAGGCACCATTCACAGAACTGATCTGTTAGATTTGTGGGATAAAGGAAATCAATAACAAGCAACACTTGGACATTGAGTCCTTATAAAATATTTATAGAACAACTACACATCAAGTTAATTGTACGAACAAATGTTACAAGCCGATATACTTCCTCTTGTCTAAAGGAGGAGGAGGAGGAGGAGAAACGTAAAAATTGCAGGCAGACAATCTTTGCATGACACCCCTCTTCATGTGTTTAGCTTATTGGGAGATTACTCGGAATAGCAACCTCAATAATGAACCACAAAGTGGAGTATAGCACAATGTTATCAGGACTGGACCGGTCATCGAACCGGTAAGGGGACCGGGTCAATGGTTCACTGGTTCAACTGTTGGGTCAATTAGTTGGACCGATCATATAATAAAAAAATAAAAATATATATATAATAATTATAAAACATAATAATTTAGCCAAAAAATTAATGAAGTTAAGTAAAAGAACAGTAACAATAATAGCACAGTAACATCAAATTCCACAATCTCAATTCATAATCCCACAATCTCAGTTCATAAAATCCACAAATAGACAATAATAGCATAGTAACATCAATAATAGGCCATTTCAATTGCATCAACCTATTTCAACTCAGTCCACATAATTCACTGATGCATCAACCTAATAATTCTAAGGCAACATAACAAACTAGCTACCATTATGCATTTTTATTGTAAACCCACTCCATTTTGTTTTTGTCATTAATCAGTACTTTCTGTGTGTTTTATTGGCAGATTTGCAACAAGATCTTGAAGGTTATTCTTAGGAAAATTGAAGTACAACTCCTGGAGAAAGGAGAAACGATGAGAGGACAGTCATTTTACCTTAACGATCTGGAGTGGTCGCCTGAGTTGTCACCTCCTTTAGCTGCTTTTCATCGTCGGAGAGGTCACCAGAGTTGTTGCCTCCGCTTGAGTGTCGCGCAGAGCAGTAATCACTGCTTCCTTGGTCACCTGAGTGATTGCCTGAGTGTGCCGGAGTGCACAAGAGTGTCACCTCAAATGAAGCTGCTCACTATCACTGCCTTATGCTTCTGCGTCTGCGAGATTTAGGGCGAAATCAAAAAAATGGCCCAAATAAAAACGTGGCAGGATCTAGAGTATTTGATGGTGTAAGATTAAACTCGATCGAAATTAACAAAATGCAAATCAACAGCTAAACCTTACAAGCAACTCAAGATATTTGAAACTAACAAAGATATTAAAGCCGTAAGTGATATCACCATAAGATATTTGCACTTACCTTGCAAACCCATCGCCATCGTTGATCTTTGCAGCTACGTGGTGAAGACGCATAAAATTGAAACCAGGTACCAATTTTAAAGCCTCGATGAATGCTATTTCCTTTAAATTGGAGTCGGAGTCGGAGTCGGAGTCAATGGTATTCCTATCATCTCAAGGAAAAAGTAGAATTTAAACATACTTATACAAACTACATATATTACCATTGAAAATATTATTTGCAAATAATTTTGTTGATTTTAATTACTGAACTAATGTTTCACAGTTATTGAATTGTTAGTGGATTCTAATTAATGCTGAGACCCACTGTTAATCATGTGTTAGGTCAATAAATAAAATTAATATAATTGAAAAAAAATACTATTTTGAATAGTATTCCTATAAGTCAAAGAAAAAAATAGAATTGAAACCTCCTAAACAGACAGACAGAGAGAGAGAGGGGGGGGGGGGGGTACGTACCACTGCTTTGACGTGGTTTTGGATAACTATGTTCAAGTCTACCGACTCTCCCTCTTCTACCAAACTCTCATAATCATCCACAATAATATTCTTCAGTTTTGGATTGCTTTGAGTCCGATTAGTAGCAGCAGTTGCAACAAAAGTCTTCGTATTTGGACACTCTTCAACATATAAGCTTTCCAATGACGGCCATTCAAAATGAAAGCCTCCCATGCAGAAACATTTGAGGTTGGTAAGATCTGTGAGTTCCAGAATTTTGAGACTAGGAAATAGAATCTTCTCCGCGACTTTCTGCTTATCACCCTCTGCTACAACAATTTCCTCTATTCCTTTACAGTCATATACTTTCAGTATATCCAGTTTCTGAAGAGTTTGGGCAACTGAAGATTGGAAGAGATTTTTCAACCTCCTACATTTTTCAATCTCGAGGCGTCTCAGGTTGTGGAGGTGTACGATTCGACCCGGGCAGTTGCATATTTGATTCAAACTAGGCAAGTTTGATAGAGATATGTCATTCAGACACAGCTCATTTCCTTCATCCACGGCAACATGCGCATCACCACTTTGGCCGTCAAACACAAGCTGTAACGCATAACAATTATTTAACACAAGTCTTTCAAGAAATTGTAGCCTTTGAAGCAAATTGATATGAAAACCAAGACTTGACATTTGAGGACAAGACAAAACAGCCAAGACTTTTAGTTTGGTCATGATCTCCCAGCTGGAAGGTATTGCACCATGACATATCCCTTTTAAGGTATCCAAATCAAAAAGTATCAATTCTTCAAGGTTAGGTAACAATTGCAGCAGATTCCGCTCCTCCTCATGTAATGGAATTGCTATCTCCATTTCCTCATCTCTATTGATCAAGCACTCAAACTCTCTGCAGTTCCAAACCACTAGAACCTCTGCGAGGTTCAAAACATCTCCATCAAAGAATAAGTATGGAAAATTGTTCTTCATGTTACTTATATAAGATGATTTCAGGTAACTTGTTCTCTTCAACAGGTTCTTCACGCTCCTTTTCCACCAAGCCATATTTGCGTCCAAACCAGAGAGCCACAAACCATTATTTTTTGGGTAATGTTTAGTCCATTATTACCCATTTCAATTCTAAAATTTTCCACATCAGGGAATATGAAGTCCTGGGGCAAAATTTCAGTATCCATTATTGAAATCTCTAGGGCAGATAGGTGAGACAAAGAGTTTACTACAGCTACTTCAACTGCAGGTTCAGGTACCTCATTGATGAAGGTGTTAAACAGATACAACTCTTCCAATCGGGATAGACCTAACATCACCTCGGCTGGAATGAGTGAACTGTGCCAAGTATAACTCATATCCAGTAACCTCAGCTTGCTCAATTCCCGAAGTTCCAATGGTGGACTAGGCAAAACAGAATTTTTAAGGCTAAGAACTTCAATAGTCTTCATATGTCCAAGAAATTTAGTGTCCACGGGCACAATCGTACCGTCTAGGATCAATGTCTGTAGACCTGCTAGGTGATTAATGCCAAGAACCTTAAATAGATTACCTCTAGTATAGCTTAGATCCAACACTTTAAGTGCTTCCAACCCACTAAAGAATTCAGTTGAGCAAAGTAATTGGCGATTCTTTTGCAAAAGCAAAATCTGGAGGTTTAGGCTCTTCCAGACAGGGGGGAGGCTATCAATGTCATTCCACATCAGTGAAATGCCAGTGTAATGTCCCAAACTTTCAACATTTGGCCACTCCAAATTTCGACCAGCTCTTACGAAATACTTTCCTGATCCGATCCATATGGCAACATCCCGCACAGCATCATGCAATTTGACGCACTCCTCTATATCACCGTGCAATAACAAACAAGAATCTATGAGCCTATTGACCATGAATTTTGTCCTGAGTTTAGCTTCTTGCACGTTATCAACATCCTTAAATATCCGCAATCCTATTCCATAACGTACCAAATCTTCTATCCATATATTGTCATCCTCAGGAAATAGAGAACAAAGCAAGAAGCAAGACTTGACTTCTTCATTTCGTAGGTAATTATAGCTCAGCTTGAGACTTTTGAACACATTGTCATCAACACCTTCAATGTTTGCTGGTGCTGATTTTCTAAGTTCTAGAACTGCCTCTTTCCATTCTTCAACCTCAACTTTGTCTCTCATTGCCCTTCCAACTGTAACAAGTGCTATGGGCAAACCTCGACATTCGTTGGCAACATTCTTTGCCACCACGGTCAATCTTGGGGTGTCAACAGCCTCACCAGCATTCATCTTAAACAAGTCCCAAGATTCTTCTTCAGATAAGACATTAAGAGGAATGATTGTTGCTACTTGGTTTCCCATTCCCATGGCAGGGGAATTGCATACTTCCCTGCGTCGTGTTGTGATCAGAACTTTGCAAACTTTATGATCATCATTGCCAAATGGAATGCCTATGTCTGCCACATTAAATCCAACCCAGACGTCGTCCAAGATTATCAACTTCTTATTCACATTTCTCAGTCTATCGTGTAACTGTCCTACTCTTCCAATAACACTTTGCTGGGTAAATTGCATACCCAACATGTATGCTATTTGGTCTTGTATTTTCATTACGTCTATATTATGAGATACCACGGCCATTGCAACTTCATCAAAAAGCTTATCTTCTTTAGCTTTTTTGCCAATTTCCTTGACTAATGTGGTCTTACCGACACCCCCCATGCCATGTATCGCTATTAGGTGGACGTTGGCTTCATTCAATGCCCTCATGACCTTCATCATATCAATTGTTCTTGTTTCAAAGGTCACAAAACTTCCAGAGGACATGGACAATATCCCTGAGGGAGGTGCACGGTTGGATATAGTATTGAACTTGCCATTTTGTTGTAGCTTTGTGACCTCCAGTGTTCTCTTTTTAGCTTCTTTACCTAGTCGGTACAGAGTGATCAAATTGGGACACCACCCATTGAAGCATCTCTCGTTCATATTGACATCGTTTTCCAAGAACTTCGTCGCTGCCAGCAAAAATTCATCGACTTTTGCTGTCCAAAGCTTTACATCATCTCGAATTACCTCTCCATTCCTTGTTGCCACATCAATGGAATCCTGCACCCCCTTTCTCAGGCTCTCTATTTCTTCAACTTGGTTTTTAAGTTCGGCAATTTTCTTCTTGTGATGAATAAGATAGCCAAACTGACGTGATGTTCGCTGCAACGTGAAATCTACAAGCTTACTAAGAATGGAAGAAATCACAGCTTCTCTAGCCATTTCTAATGAGAAAGTTGTGATGAAACAATAGCTGTAAACTGCAGAAAGAAAAGCAACCGGTCAATATCATGTTTAACCATCATAGCAATACCATAAGATTTCACACTTGATACGAAACAGTCCTTGTAGACTTAGTTTTAACAAAAAAAAAAAAAAAGACTTAGTTAATTTTTTTTATTATCATAAGATTTCACACTTGGTGCAAAACAATCCTTGTAAAGATAAAGGTATTTATTTTTTTTGTTGTACAGAAATTATGTATGCCAGCATGCTGTTAAAACAACTGTTGGGAAACATATGTGCCATAATAGTTGTGAACTAATATGGCCCAGTCAACAATTCTACCTTAAATTGATGGATTAGGACCTCGTATTCTGGAATTATTATACACTTTTTAACATAATGTGCATTTTAGATTACTATAAGTTTACACCTTAAATATAGCGAAAAAAAACTTTACACCTTATGAGTAGTTAATGAATTTTACGGGTTCATATCAGCAGAGTTGGTTCTTATAAGTGAAAAACAAACACATACCACGGACTACTGAGTTAGTAAAAGAAACCTTTGTTTTTTTAGTAGCAACAACGATGTTAGAAACTAGTACATATCTTTTTTTTAATTTATTTTTATCAAAGTTTCTATATACCCAATTAATATTCCAGGTGAGTTATGTGCAGTAGCGTTGGCCTTTATCATTTCTTAAGCTAATCGCATGCCCACTAACCGTGATAAAATTAGAGCCACAATTTATTTTTTTAATCCAAGCATTACCGTAATGTCCTTCTTTATCGAACAATTGGATTTTTTTTTTGTCTATTGGGATTACTCTCGTAATTAGTTAGTCCAATGAAAGTTGGAATACATGAATAACTAATTATACATCCATAATCTATATGCAAATCAACACTCACCCCAGAAAAAAAAAATAATAATAATTCTACATATAATCGAAATTTATAGACATAGAGATAACTATATTGGTCATTTAGTTTAGAGTCAATTAGCTCCTACACAATCACCATCCATATCCACTCTTCCTTTAGGTACGACAAACACTAAATACCACTGAATTATAGACATGGATGGTAACAAGAGAACAGTGATTAAGAATGGTTCATGTATTGAATGTTACATGAACTTAAAAAGTAGACTTAAAATTTAGACTTGATAATCTCAACCATTGAATAGATAGTAGGTATCAATAAATGTTGGGATCCACAGTAAAATTAATAGTTGAGATTATCAAGTCTGATTTTTAAGTCTACTTTTTAAGTTCATATAGCATTACTCTGCTATGATACTAAGATCATGTAATAAACAAGGTGAAGATAGATTTTCTAACATACCTCTCTCTTTTTTCTCAAAAGTACCGAGGAAGATCAACACCGAAGGCAAAACAGTCCGTCCATGGACTTGATGAACTTTGGCAAAAACTTGACTTTTAAGGTCTTTTGGAAGTTTTAAATCGGATGGAAAGCAGCATGGCCAACATTGGCCACATACCATGAAAACCTCATTAAAGTAAAGGTGAGGGTAAATTTTATTGACACCCCTGGACAAATTTCCTAATTACAGAGACACCCTTATAATTTTTAAAATATTATTGTCAGCCCTTGTCAGTTTTTGTCTTTAACAAAATGTAATGGAAAGTATAGCAATAATAAAATAAGAATTACATTTTGGGTTGATATTACTACTGTTTTGGCACAATTATAACCTTTTAAAGTGAAGTTATCACATTTTGAGAAGGACTTACCAAGATTTAGGGTGGTGTTACCATTTTTTGGGTTGATATTACTACTGTTTTTGACATAATAAAACAAGTGAAGTTATCACATTTTTAGAAAGAATTAACTAGATTTAGGGTGGTGTTACCATTTTTTGGGTGATGTTACCATCTTTTGTGATACTCTTTGTAGTGAAATTACACATTTTGCGATGTCCTTTAAATTTTCGATATGATACCAAAAAATAGAATGTACGATAGTATTATTGTGACACAACATAATGAAAAAGGAAGGCATGAGAACTAAAAAGCTCCATGAAAAAAAGATGAAAAACAAAACAGACGACATACCAAGTGTCTTGTTTTAATGGTTTAAAAAAATTATAATTTAAAAAGCAATTTTTAATATTACTACTACAGAATAAACCCTTAACTGCATTAGGACCTAATTAATTTAGAGACCTAATATATTTTAACCACTAGATTTACTATGAGTAAAAGTAGGTAATAAAGTGAATTATTAATTCAATGGTCTGAAAATATTAGGTGTCTGTTAGTCTTTCATGAACAATGTTTGAAATTTCGCACGCTATACTATTGGAAGGTAGTTACTCGGTTAATCCTTCTGACTCAATCAATTATAATTTTCATTATGATACCTCCTACGATATAGCAGTTAGATCCTTGCTATCAGAAGTGCACATGTTGAGTATAGCATAGTATAATCCACTATATTGTAATGAGTATGGCATCAATACACATGTTGAGTGAAATAGTGCAAACTCCTTAGGCAGGCCTAATTGTGATTTAGAGGCTGAGAGGAGAGAATGTTTGATGGATTCTCATTGAAACTTTATACATCACGTTAAATAAATCAGATCTTAGATAAGGATAAACTGTTCTAAGTGTTCTTGAAGTTTGTGTTCAAACTCACTGTAATTTCTAATGTTCCTATTTGCGGGTTACCACTTGATGAAGAAGACTGACACATTTCATAGAACTGATCTGTAAGATAAAAGAAAATCGATCACGAATCACACTTGGACACTAAGAAGTTACAAAAAGTTTGTATAACAATTAGACATCAGGTTAATTGTATGAACAATTGTTATTAAAGAGGGTACAACTCATTTTCGAACCTAAACATATTAAACCCTAAATCACCATCCCCACCAATAAATTGAATACACGGGAACTACTATTTCTTGCCTGATATTGGGTTCATATTTTATTTTTTTCAATAATTTCTTATTTCAACGTATGGCACATATATATAGTCAACTAAATTTTTATCCTACTGTTATAAATCATATTTAGACTTGATTTGTTAATTAAATTAATCATAATAATCGAATATGTAGTGGGCCCTAATAAATACTACGTTCTACAATTAAATCAATGACAACAACGAACATTAAATGGTGCCATAAATTCTGCACATTTTTTTTTGCCGCCCAAATTTGGCTACAAATTCCTTTCTAAAATCAAATTCAGTCATAGGAGAAAGATAATAATACTGAGTTAATTTTTGGTACATGTCGAAAGTTAGTACAGCATAAAACATATGGGTGGGCTCAATTTTGAGAGATTATGACAACTGAAATCGTTTCAAACCAATCTTTGAAATTTAGGATCAATCCTTGTAGTTTTTAGTGATAATTTAACCTTTAAATATTGTAACTTGATTCATACTGATTGAACTATAATTTTAACTTTA